TGTATTAGTAGTTTTTAACTACACTAAACAGCATCCACTCGGCTTCGCCTCGTATCTTTATGTCTGATAAAACACTGCTGCATGCTCATGTTTTAAATAGTATGTCAAAAAACTTTGTATGAAAACATTAAAAACACCGTTCGTTCAAGTTGTTTTTCTTTATCTTTTACCAGATAACTGCATGTACAGATTTATTTTAGCTGTAAGTTATTGGCCAACTATAGAATACTGGAAGCGACTATAATCATGTAAAATAATATTTAACATGCAATCAGTATTCGCCGAAGGCGAGGTGATTATCGGGGAATATTCGCCTAGACGAAGTCGAGGTGAATATTCTCCAATAATCACCGAGCCTGAGGCGAATAATTGTTTTAGTATTTTTACACAAGTCTTTTGTGTTATTTGGTACTGAATTTATTTTAATTTCGCTTATTTCTTCATCAGTAAACTTCCACAAAACGTTAGCCGCCATTTTGAAAATTTCAGTTTTGTTATATTCACCTGTGGGTGAATATTATACACTTAATGTCTGCTCCCGAGGGAAATAGTTAGTTTTGTTTTCCCGAGAATCTCAATTTTTCCCGAGACGAAGTCGAGGGAAACATTAAGATTCGAGGGAAAACAAAACTAACTATTTCCCGAGGGAACAAGCATTAAGTGTTTTGTTATATAGCGACGAACAAAAATCAACTTCAACAACATTCATACAACAATTGTATTTCGTGACAAAAACTCTACAGTGTAAACGAGTTTAAAATTAAAAGAACCTACTTAAACGGTTTCAGCAGCATATCCTGTTGCTTGTTGTGTGCAGTAGCCAACTCGAAAGCTCACGCTACTTTGGCTACTGCGCACATCCAATCTAAGTTTATAATATATCATTATGTAATAATTCTTAAGTTCTACAATTTCAACAAATAACTTGTAAATACTAATATCATGTGCATAATAAATCTTTCTTTCTTTCTCTTTATTTGAACACAAACTTGGAAAATCGTAGTTTCTAATTATCTGAGTTGTGCCTCCATTTTGTTTATTTATGTACGTGGCCGGTCGGGGCGGGCAACAATTTTTCACTTGTTGCCCGGCGGGAAACATTTCATTTATCTGAAGTCACGTGACCACAAATCAGCCAATCACGTTTCGTGTTCACGCTAGCTATATAACAAAACAGCTTAATACGTCAAATTTGACAAATCAGGTTGTAGAATTTGTTATGTTCACTAGTGCAAAAATACGGGGTAAAATAAGGAGTAAAATTGAATGTCTGCATGGCGTATAGGATTACTTAAAGGGTTGAATTTGTACTTAAATTAAATACTCTGTATACTCAAGTGGTATTTTCATGCATACTCGAGTCTACAGGGTCTTTAACTCACTTACCATTAGAAATAAGTTTTCCATGACAAATTAATCTGATATCATCGTGGCTTCCTTGCAGGCGAAACTCCTCCATTATTTTCGTACGCAATGTTTCCCCGTTTATGTGTAATCCGGTCTCCAGTTTTGACATACGTGTGTTACCACTTGACTTTCCTATCAACTTCAGTCTGATTGTTGCAACACCGCTTGCTTTAAACTTTCTATTTGCAGCGAGTTTCCTTACAGCATTCCCTCTTAGGTTTTCCAGACTGCTGGCGACAACATCAGCCGAGATTTGGAACAGAGTAGAGTATCTTTCAACAAGTTCCTGAGTGTAAACAATAAAATCAACATTTGTAACTATGATCATGAATGTTTAGCAATGCGATGCTACGTAGCTCTATATTCTAAGAGGCTTATTCCAAATTCAAAATCTTCTGTTCAAAACCTAAAAATTAGTTCAATTTAGAATCCCGAAGTTGCAAGCCAACTAAAAAAAAACATGTGAAGGCAGTGGAGGTAGCTATCAAAACGGGAAGACGGAAGTTACTGACCAACAACTCCACAAAATCCTTGGCTGTACTGTACAGGGTGTCTCAAAAGAAAAACGCTGTGGAAAATCAACAGGCTGTTGTGCATCACAAACTTAGCTAAGCAATTCGATTTTTACATAGGACGAAAGAGCTGTTATTTAGCTTTTCAAAATGATACCTTTTTGAAATCGTAACGATGAGAAATGGCCACACACTCGTCAAATAAGTCGTGGTAAGGCGTGGCGGCGTGCGGGAGCAACACTCAGAGCGTATGCTGAGGGTCGTGAGTTCGATCCCAGAGTGAGCGGGAACCAATTTGAATTTTTTGGGCCCGCAGTAATTGGCGTTATGCTGTTGTGGAAACCCTGCCAGAATTTGTAATTTATGTAACGGCAAAGTTCTTAAATTAAATAAAAATAAATTGCCGGTCGAAATCACATTCTTCCATCGTTGGGATTGAAAATACATTACAGTAATTATGCAAAGTTAGTCAATCCAAAAGCAACGCGAGCCTACTGCAAGCTATTTGTTTCATAAAACGTTTTGATAACGATAACGTTGTTCTCCGTTCAGGGGTTAATTTAACCATGTTTAATGGAAATTCTTATTGAGTTATTGTCTCACTAAGACGAAGATTGACGCGAGTTGTGCTTATTTTAGATAATTTAACATTCAATTTTAATTCCCTCTTGGGAATTGTTTATGTTTCGTTTTCGACGCAATTCCCAACGGTGGAAGAATGTGATTTCGACCGGCAATTTTTATTTGACAAGTATGAGGCCATTTCTCGTCGTTACGACTTAAAAAGAGTATCATTGAAAAACTGTTCTTTCGTCCCATGTAAAAATTGAATTGTTTAGCCACGTTTATGATACATGACACCCTGCTGAATTTCCATAGCGTTTTTTTTTAGACACCCTGTACACATATCCGCATATGCTAAATAAAATCTACAGCCATGGTATATAATTACAGTAATCAATCAATCAATCATCAATTAACATGCACTAAGCAATCATTCCTTAAATTAAAGTAAAAAAAGGTTTATTATTTGTGGGCATCACAGTATACTATACAGTAAATTGACACTAAAATTAATACAATTGGTTTAGTAGAACCGATGTTATAGATATAAATTAAAGCTTAGCACAAGTGACGCATTATTTCAATTCTCGATTGGCCCAACCAGACTTTTTTAAAAAACAACTATGACTGGTTCTACTAGAAGACCGATATAAATAATCTTGCAGTCAAAATTAATCTCATATAGATTGATTAAATTTTCGATGCCACTGTGGAAAATCTGGAACTTGATTGTAATTTTTGCAGCACCGTGTATAAATGGTATGCAGAGGTTGGGTGGTTCTCTGAAAGCAACCACAATGAGGGCATTTATAGGGGATTGTCAGGGGGTTTGGAGGCTATTTCTCACAAAAAAAGTGATACTGTAAGTGTATGTCTAACCCTTTAAACGCCGATTCACACTACACAACTTTTGCCTAAAACTGTCGCATGCAATCAATCTGCTTACTATTTGAGCTGTACAATGTAAATCAAGCACACAACTTGCCTACGTTGCCATAGAGCTTGTATGCGTGATTTACAAATACAGTACAACTCAAGTTGTAAGCAGATTGCATGCGACAGTTTCAGGCAAAAGTTCTAGTTTTTAAATCAGCCTTAAGTGGCATTGCGCCCTAAACTTCCATACTTATTATTAATTTACTCAGTCTACCGCAAGGCGATTTCACTCGTCAAGGGAAAATACAACATTGTGATTTTCAGGCTAATTTCAAGTTTATGTGATAGAAGATTTTAGCTATTTTACTCATCAAAGGGAAATTGTAGGATGGTAATGAATTAATCAGCAAGACTAATCAGCCCATGTCTTGTTTGAATCTTGCCTCTCAATCTGGCAAACCCTATGCTTATTGATTTTTGAGAAAATTAGTGACTGTGTGCGGAAATTTAAGTGCTGTGTTCCTTGTTCCGTTGGCATCCATTTGTCCAGTGCTGTTTCCACCCACAAGATGGCAGACACTATTAGGACAGCTTGATTGCATGGCATGAGTAAGGATAATTAAACAGGTTAATTAAATTAAAATAATAGAAACGGTGGCATATATACTGTATATATGTATAGAAAGGTGTTCACATTCCATATTAATTTATACAACAGCATATTATCAATCTAAATGCATGGTATAAGAAAACAACTAACAGGAAAGCTTGAAAAATATGCCTGGCTACGGTGGGAATCGAACCTACGACCTTTGGAATACTAGTCCAATGCTCTGCCAACTGAGCTACGCGGTCAGGTCGGTTCGAGTATGTGATATTTCGGAACCGAGTCTAGTTCCTTCAATATCAATGTAACCTAGTAACCATGATATTTTTTTGTGTTGGTGTAATGTACTCAGGTGAATATGATGCTTGTGATGTTACTCTGAGTGTGTATCCACACCGGGCAAGCTTGAAAAATATGCCTGGCCACAGTGGGAATCGAACCTACAACCATTACCCATTGGAATATTACATTGCTATCGAAGGAACTAGACTTGGTTCCGAAATATCACATACTCGAACCCACCTGACCGCATAGCTCAGTTGGCAGAGCATTGGGCTAGTATTCCAAAGGTTGTAGGTTCGATTCGCGATTCCCAGCAGCCTTTCGCGCTCGTATTCGACTTTTCCGCTCATTTTTGTGTGGAATATTAGACGTAGACATTTTTCACTCCCCAATATATAACCACCCCTAAAAGCAATCATTCTGAACACCATAAGAACTTCAAAAAATATGTAGCTTCAATGATTTAGGGGCTGACCATTTAACTTTTGAAGGGGGGGGGGGGTGATTCTGAAAAAAAATTTCCTGCAAGGCTATTCTGAACAAAAAAATACCTGCACTAACAAACTGGGGGGGGGGGGAATATCCTGCCACAGTATTTGGTGGGAAAAAAAATGTTGGAAAACAGCATGGTTGTAGGGATCGATTTGACCAGTCCCAGAAGATTAGCTAGTTTGATTTTCAGGGGCTAGTGTAAGGTTAATTTCTTGTTGGAAAATTCCTCAAAATGCTGGTAATAGCTTATCGGAGCTTCAAGAAATCCAAAATTTTCTGCGGGGGGGGGCATGCCCCCAGACTCCTCGAGAGGCTTGCACCTTCGGTGGTCGACTCGGTTGTCTCAGAATCCTAGTTATGGCCTGATCTGCTGCCCTATGACGTGTACTTATTAGTTAAACCATGCATATATATGCTGCAGGTAACTGCAGTGATACAGACTTGCCGACTGGAACTTCTCCAGGTCCCCCGCTAAATATGTCCCCTCCAGTTACACATCCTTAAAAGAGGCCCTGAACCAAATGTTATACCTCATAGCAATATGTATTATTAAAAGCAATGCATGAAGCTAGAAAACTCAACGTCAACTATAATTAAAGAATCTAAATAGTATAAGCTATTGAAAAAAAAATGCTGCGAAAGAGAGAGTGGCAAAAAAAATCGTACATGGTGATGGGATAGGGAAAAAAACTCTTGCACATAACGATCCCAGAAAAAAATTCCCTGCCAGCAGTAAACCCCCCCCCCCCCCCTCTCAAAAGTTAAATGGTCGGCCCCTAAGGGCTCTGGCCTAAAGGGGGAAGGGAAAAGTATCATATTACACTTCAAAAGTATCACTTTGCACTTCAATCGCAAGGAGTGAGTGTTCTGTACCGATCAACTTTGGGAAATCACATATTCGTCAAAATACTTGCTAAATTTGATTTGTTTGCTCTTGAATTATAAAAAATATGCTAAACAGATTTTTATAGCAACATGAAGCAATAAAAATGTATGATCATATGCTCTATTGTTCTTAGGGACCGGTCATTATTTATGGTGGGGGGTGGCACCGAAGAGAAAAGATTTTCGTGGCAAAAATTTTGCTGACCCAACCATTAAAAAGTAAAAAAATTGATTACCCAACCTTAAATATCAATTAAAAAATAAATACCCACCCCTGGCCAAAAACTTTACAAAAAGATATCATTCAGTTGCCACACGTGTCCTTTACCACTTCTGTGACACGAGTTTGATAACGGATTGGGAAATTTTCTGCAGTCTAAAGTTTCATGTTGTCTGCACATGTACTTTCTTTGGAGACATGCATCAAGATAGTGACTCTGATTGATTCACATATTGTATTGACATATGACTGTTGACTTGCTTTTTAGTCTCCAATATTTTAGTGAGTCATGCTTTGGAAATGACAATAAATTTTTATTACCCAACCCTTGAGTTGTTTTGTTTTTCATTAACCCAACCTTTTACTCACTCAAAATTTTGTTTACCCAACCCTTTTCTCTTCGGTGCCACCCCCGCCATAAATAATGACCGCTCCCTTATATGTTCTCTCTCGGGGCACACTTATAAAAGACACTTTCATTTCTCACGTTTCTGCTCTGTCTTTGGTTCACATTATTTATAATCTAATAATATGTTACTAAATTGTTATCTGGAAACGGTATAAACTTTGCATTGATTTACTTCAATTTTAACAGAGGTCTCGAGAGCGACTGCACGTTTATAAGGTCGTAGCGCCTTTGAGGTCTTTCGGCAAGCCAAAGGGCAAAGCCAAAGGGCATTTGGACACAAGCCAAATACACAAATGGACATTGAATGTCAATTTTAAGCCCCGTTTACACTACGCTCAATTTCTGGTACGGCACGGATAAAATTGGTACACGTACCACTTTTTTGGTTCTTGGACTACCTATTTAGGTAGTCCAAGAACCAAAAAGTGGTACCGAACCAAAAATTGAGCGTAGTGTAAACGAGGCTTAGCTAAATAGGTAGTCCAAGAACCAAAAAAGTGGTACGGGTAGGTACGGGTACCAATTTTGATCCGTGCCGTACCAAAAATTGAGCATAGTGTAAACGGGGCTTTATTCATTCTAAAACTTTTTATAGACTGTTTATATGCTACTGGTTTTATTCAAAAAATATTAATCTTTTTTATATATATTAAACACTGGGTATTGTAGGAAGGAGTGTATAAGGTACAAAAATTGTTAGAGAGTATATAAGGTACAAAAATTGTTAGAGACTCTACAGTACAGAATTATAAGACAACTGTATATGCTTTTCCTTTGTCTGCATCAGTATGTTGTTGCACATTTGAAGGCAAAATATTATTTACCCCGCCTTTTATACCTTGCCATGTGAATAATAACAGATAAAGTTTAGCAAAGTATTTTTTTATTATACGTGCATGGTATAACGTGTCTCTACATTTTGTCAGAGATATATACATAATTCATAAACCCTGTATACGCACAAAGTCTCGCACAGACATGACATTACTTTTATAATTTATAAGATTTCGTAAGCATTTTAAAGTTTCTATTGATATATTGATAGGGGGGGCCTTACCCCCTCCCCCCCAAAAAAAGATACATGAAGAATACCAGAATGCGAGTCCATTTATACAAACTACGAAGTCTTCAAATTACTGCTCGCCGGCTAAAATGCAAAAGAAAATATCCTACTTTGTGATCAAGTGAATGTAAATTGATTTTCTTTCACCCTGAGTGTATAGGCTATCATTGATCTATACAGTAAATATTACCACAGTTGCCTAGCGTGCCTGGCGTACCTATTTTTTTTTATTAACTTTACAATCGTATGATTGATGGTCAGAACAACAGAACATAAGTTCCTAATTAAGTCCCACCAAAGAATTACATTATTACAATATTACATATACATATTACAAAAACACTTAAATAGTCGGCCGGCCAAGGTGGCAAAAAGTGCCTCTAAAGAAAGTTTGATGGCAACTTTATGTTAGAAGCTGGTAACAGGCATTTTCTTATAGTTCAAGCCTTGGTGAATAAGACTGTGTGTGTTACCACTTCTGATTTTTGCTTTATAGCCAAAAATTTGAGAATTTTAAAATTTTGCCTATTAAATTACTATGATCGGAAAAAATGTAAAATTTCGTGTTGTCTTATACGAAAAATAAACTATACCACTAGAAAGAGCGTAAAAAACTATATATAAGATAACTTAAGCGACTAGTGCAATTTTCAAGCCGATTTTGAATTAAAGATGGTTAAAGTTGGCAAAATGGGTACTAATTAGCATTAATTAAGTCATTTCTGCATTTTTTAACATTAAAAACTCGAAATAGGATTGGAAAAACGTAGAACTCACTTAATTGTCTTATATACAGTTTTTTACGCTCTTTCTAGTGGTATAGTTTATTTTTCGTATAAGAGAACATGAAATTTTACATTTTTTCCGATCATAGTAATTTAATAGGCAAAATTTAAAAATTCTCAAATTTTTGGCTATAAAGCAAAAATCAGAAGTGGTAACACACACAGTCTTGTTCACCAAGGCTTAAACTATAAGAAAATGCCTGTTACCAGCTTCTAACATAAAGTTGCCATCAAGTTGTACAAATTGATGACTTGGCCGGCCGTCTATAAATATTAATTAATAACAATTATATAGGAATTGGATTTATGAACAGCAGTTTGTCTGTAAAGAACGACATTTATAAATACTACACAAAGTTTTCCAAGTTATAGGACGGTCTACATCGAAAGTATTGTTAAGTTTATTCGTATGATATAGATATAGTTTAGATTTAAGTATAGACACGGAAGAGGATGATTTGATATCTATACAAAAGCAAGTTGTTCCATAAAATACAATTCTGTTAAGAAGGCTCCCTTCAGTTGCGTGCGGGATGTTCGCGGGACCAGTACGTCAACTATCCCACGCAACCGCATGATCAAAACAACACAAATATTGACCGGGCTTTTTTAAAAAAAAGCTATTTCTGAAAGGTTTCTAATCGAAAAAGGCGTTGAATAATACTTCGTTTTGAGTGCCAAATCACTTGCGAGTCTATACAGCAATTCTCCATATGATACGAATATCACTAGACCAAAAATAGCTACGAAACAATGTTTTTTAATTTTTTTAAATATACACTGTCAACTGTATTAAAACATCTCCAAAATTGCATACAAACGTTTGAAAAGTTGTTTACATCTCAAGAAAACGTTCACGTTTTTAGTCGTGTTTCTACAAAAGTGATTATATGTAAACAGAAAAATATTTCAGTTTCATAGCCTAATTATTCATTTTTAGCAAAAAATACAAAACCAAACATGAAACAAAAAAACACGTCCACCTGTTAATAGGCTGTTACAGCTCATAGATTGAGTAAACGGCAGGGTTAAATTAGCTTCAACCTTAGAAAGGTTTTGTTGTTTTCATCAATTTGATCCTTCACAATAATCCTTGGCTGTCCATGGCACTCAGGCACTCAAATAAATCGAAAAGTTGACAAAAAACAAAACAGTAAAAACAACATTGCCGCTCGATTTTGCTGAATGAATTTAATGAAAGCTCGTTCTGCGCCCGCGTACAATCTTTTACTAGTCAGCGACGCTTTTCAATAAGGGAATTTCTGGAATTTCTAGCAGCTGGGAGGAATTTCTCAGAATTTCTCGAGTTACACGAGACTATTTTCTAACTTTATTTGCATTTTACTCATTAGTTTCATCGGTGACCTATCTTCAAATTTTGACCACGAATTTATTTTGCGGTAAATTTTATAAATTTCAATTTTTAAAAAATCTTTTGTGTGGAAATTTCGCAATAAAATTTTCGCTTTTAAAAAATCACACACTACAGAATTTCTTTAAACTTTCACCACAGTTGCAGAGCATCATTCCCTATTGATATATGAAATAAAAAAGATAGGTCACCGACATCGTTTTTGAGATAGCGGCACATTTATGGGTTAATTGGAATGCTTTATGCTGTCGTCATGTTGCCATGGGAACATTGACGTTGTCGAAATCTAGTTCGAAATATTCCTTAGGTGACCAATATTGCCACCAAGTCGAAAAGAATTCATGTTCTGCACGAATAAGCCTGTTTTACGGAATTATTGCTTAAACAAGAATCACTGTAGGGACCCACCTTAAAGTACGAGTTCTGAGGAGAGACGTTTTACACAGATTTGTACGAAGAAGATCGCTAGAACTGGAACGGGTGGAATGATGGAGAGGCTGGGTAATAAGCTGATTAGTGGTAATGATAAGTTCGTACATCTCGGATTTGCATTTGTAGAAGAACATGATATCTTTAATTTCATATATGCCTGTATGGAAGAGGGATTAGATTAATAATAATAATAAATGTATTACTTATATAGCGTTAATTACAGTAGTTGATCAAAAGCGCTTCACAGAGTTAAGAATAGATACAATATTTACATTATTGATTAGTTACATTGTTACTGATGAATTTATTAAATATTAACATTAATTCTTAAAATTCAATATCCGTATCTTGTAAAAAGTCAGTAAAAACGTTCCTAAAAGATAAGTTTTAATTGATTTCTTGAACAAGTCAATAGATCTAAGTGAACGTATACCAAGTGGAAGACTATTCCAAAGATGAGGTGCAGCCGCGTGAAAGGATCGAGCACCCAAGGACGTAGTAAGCATCCTGCCTGCTGGAGGTTCCAGTAGAGCGCCATTGTTAGATCTTAAGTTGAAGGACGACTTCGATTTAACATTTATGAGATCCTTAATATAAGATGGTGCTAGATCGTGTATAGCTTTAAAAGCAAATAGTAATACCTTGAATTGTATTCTTGCATGTACCGGAAGCCAGTGTAGTTCATACAGTGCGGGCGTAATATGAGAATATTTCGGAACGTCCATTACTAATCTTGCAGCGGCATTCTGAACACGCTGTAGTTTAGATATTTGCTTTCCAGGGAGACCGTAAAATAAGCTATTACAGTTGTCCAGCCTGCTGGTGATGAAAGCATGTACTAGGATCAGTAAGTTGTCTCTTGATAGATATTTCTTAATTCGTCTGATATTATGCAGCAGGCTTTACATACTTTTGTGATATGAGTCGTCATGTTTAAGTTCGAGTCCAACCAGCTGCCAAGATTCTTAATTTTCGTGAAGAATAAACTTAGTAGCGCGACGTTGAATACCCTCGAGACAAAACAGATCAGCAGACGATCCTTGAGGTGCCCAGATCGAGTTCACAGCCAAAAGACAAGTGAGAACGAACCATTGACAAATGTGGTAGGCGGCGAGCTTTGACGTCAGTAAGGTGGAAGCAATTCCGTCGTAGAAACTCAAGCATTTTATTGGCCTTAGCGACGATGTTGATAATGTGTGGGACCATTTCAAGTTGTTGCTAACAAGAATACCTAAATCATTCTGAGCAGCGGAAGAATTTATCGGTTGTTGGTTAAATATGTATTCTTGTGGTGGCACTGAGGATTTCGTTCGTGAAAATTGGAGAACGACACATTAGTTGGTGTTAAACTTTAAATCCCACGTAGACGACCATCGATGGAGGAGATTTAAGTCGGACTGGAGGAGATCTCTATCTCGTGGCTGAGAAATTTCTCGGTAGCATTTGCTGTCGTCAGCAAACATTGGGACTATGCTATGGTTAGCCGCGTTTGGAAGATCGTTTGCATAGATCAAAAATAGAAGTGGACCAAGTACACTGCCTTGTGGAACCCCTGATGTCTCTGTGAGGAATGATGACGCGACTCCTTCGACCACCACTCGTTGACGCCTTTCATTCAGATAGTCCGAGAACCAACTCATCAATGAGCCTGAGACAACATGCTGTTCAAGTTTCAAAAGAAGATTACGATGTGACACTGAATCAAAGGCTTTTGAGAAGTTTAAATAAATCATGTCCGCTTCCTTTCCGGAGTCCAAGGCTTTGCCAACGTCATGGAAAACACCAAGAAGTTGAGTTATACAAGAGCGTCATTTGCGGAAACCATGTTGTAAATTATTCAGCGACGATTGAACAAACTCAGAAACGTGGATATTTACATGTACAACTTGTTCATGCAAGTTTAGATACTAGGGACAGCAGGGAAATCGGTCGGTAATTGCTGACTTCGTGTATATTGCCTTTCTTGGGAATAGGGACTACATTAGCTTCCTCCCACTCCTAGGGGACTTTACCAAGAGAAAGGGACTTGTTGAATAGCGCTATCATAGACGGAGAAATCTCGTTTGAACACTCTTTTAACAATTTGGCAGATATCTCATCGGGACCGGTGGCTTTATCAGTAGAAAGATTTGATAAAAGATAACTAACTTCTTCTGTTGAAACGGAAATAGACTCAAGATTATCCAAACCATAACTGGTGGGAGGAACACGGGAAGAAATTGGCGTAACCGGACGAAAAGTGGATGAAAAAATTTGTTAAAGGCATCGGTTTATTCTCCTTAGAGTTGCATGAGTAATCCCAACAAGTAGATTTTAAACTTCTGACGTTTTGGTAAAACACACTTAATGGTCGACATAAATTACTTTTGCAGTTCCGATTTGCAGGGCCTTTTTGATGTTGTTTTGTCTTTAAAAAGGCCTAACCTGGAACTTGGGTTGATTTAACCAGGACGACCTGGTACAATAACCAGACAATGCTATACGTCGATATGCAACCAGACAACTGTTTAAATTTTTTTTTCTTATGTACAAAACATGAGGGATGCAACTTCTGGTTACTTTGAAGATTAAAATAATTTCAAAATATTACAGCAAATATGATATTGCATAGTGGCTCAATTTTGACTCAATGCTTAAGTGACTCAGTCACAATCTGCCTAATCCAGCTCAATAAAGACTATTAAAGTCGACCGCATTTCTGCTCAAACGTACGACTGTGTCTTTGCTATTGGAAATGATTTTCTTCTGTTTTGGCCCATCCAAGTAAAACTAGTCATCAAGAGAACCACAGCCCATAATTGCGAACTACACCTATCTATTACAAACAAAATCAAAATCATTTTGAGCATTGCAAATAGGCTATGAATATGCGCATGCTTGTGTTTATAAAGCTTATCATTTTGTGTCACGCACAATCCTGTTTTATATACAAAATATAAAGTTACACACACCAGATGTGTTCAAACAATCAGATACAAACCAAGGCGAGCACAATACAATACTGACAATATTACAATAATATACATGCACAAAAAATGATCTACTTACCACTAATTTTACAGCTATTGTACCATCGCGGCGTTAATGTCTCTATCACTTGGTCTATCATACTGGACGTCGACTTTCAGATGCAGTACTGACTAGGTTTACTGACCTTATTATTCCAGTCGCTAACCGTCATACCGCGCCGCCAAATTATGGCCAAATAAACAATAAGATATAGCACTTGTTTTTCTATTTTAAAAAATCAGTTATCTGCACCATAAACAAGTGAAATGGGCAAAAATTCCACTGCGATATGTTGAAACGTCATATAATTTACTACAAATACGGCATCATATCTTCGTTTCCGTTCATTTTACGCGGCATCGATATGGCGGCGGAAAAGTTCGCACGCGATGACCAAATTCAGAGGCGAAATTTGACAACTTCTAGGCATCGCATGATGGTCAAATATATATGAAAATGCTTCTAAAAGACTGAATTTTTATTTAAGCTAAAAAAGTAGGTCCAAAAATTCGACATCTTCAGAGCAATGACATACAAAGCGGAAAACATAGAAATATGAATAAATTACAACTATTTAGAAGATATTATATTACTGCAGAAGTAGAAGGAGGAGTGGATCAGAGCATAAGTAGAGGGACCGACTACCTTGTACGTTGAGAAAGGGTTTGAATCTGTTAATGAGAAGACTTTCTCAACTGAGGAGTTCGTCTGGAGAGGAGCAACAAGAAATAATCTTAAAATCATTAAGAGAGGTGGTGTGGCCAGTGCTATCAAGATGGGAAAAGATACTAGACCAAGTGTTCAGATACTCGTATGTGCAAGTGACGGACCGTTTGGCCCAAATACGTTGCGGAACGGCAACGACACGTGAAGGAATACACGACACAAGATCTTAAAGCCTAAGGAATTTTATCCTTAAAAGTGAAGAGTTGAGACAAACGTAAAGTTGGGCGAAAGAAAGTCCTATGTCAAGGTGGTCACCTTGTCATAGGTGGTCAGTGCTTCAGTGTTAGCTTGATTCCTAAACTGTGCACTTGGGTCGGTTGAGTGAGATAGTGACGTGGAAATCGAGTTGTAGAAAGACAGAGATCAGCAGATGTTTTAATTAACATTTGATATTTGTAGCGTTGTAAGGAGAAAGTAGATTGATTCCGCACTGTAACAGTAGAGGTAAATACAGAAAAGGGACGGTCCTTTAAATTTTTGGTACCCTGAGTATTTACTGGTACCAGAAATTGAAATGACCGCCTCTTTTCTGTGTACTTACCCCTCATTCCCCCAGTACGTGTATTAATTGTGCATGCACTATATGTGCAATGGTATTGTACTAGACCGTATAAACATTTAATTAAGGCCTGTTTTATACACGCCGAATTTCGGTCGCGTCGAATGCAATTCAAACAATAGATAATGAAGTTTAATGAGGTTTATTATCTATTGTCTTAATTGCATTAGACGCGACCAAAATTCGACGTATAAAACAGGCCAGCCTTAAGCCTGATTTCCACTAGGCGGAATTTTGCGCGCGCAGCGGAAATTTTCTTTGTCTTTTCTAGTCAGTTCCACCTGAGAAATCACAAGGCAAAGAAAAATTCCGCTCCGCGCGCAAAATTCCGCCTAGTGGAAATCAGGCTTTAGGCATTTTTCAAACGTCGCGCTTCTCATGTGCCGAACGCATTAGAAGCAATAGATAACGAGGCATTTCAGCTGATTATCTATTGTTTTTAATGTGTTCGGCACATGAGAAGTGCCACGTTTGAAACAGGCCTAAGATTTGAACAGAATATTTGTTCTGTTCAAATCTTAAACAGTGACGATCCAGTGCAAGTTGCCATGGGATATAAACCTGAGGGGCGTGGCGGCAGTACGCTTTTTTGGCTGAGTCGGTTTTCTGGATGGTCTCTATTCTGTGGCTCCGCGTCAAAGTTTTTGTTAGATTTTCTGTTAGTTTGATGATGAAGTACAGTATAATGTTGGCTGACTGTACAGTCCAACTTTGACTAAAGTCAAACAAGAAAACACGAAATCAAACAGCATAAATTAGCTTCAGCAAATGGCAAGTGTTCCTGTACATTCATTGATATTTTTGTATATATTTATATTTCAGAAATGGAATAAAATAGTTTAAGCAGCTTTACTCCCAGCTGATTAACTTTAAAACTTAGTAGTGCGCATCTTATACTTTCAGTTTAAAAAAAAACACATTTGTGGCTTTGACTAATCCCATACTGTCAATTAAATTGACGAGTAAATATTTAGAGTTAGTATACCAATATATTGAAAATGCCAAGAATTCTATAAGATTGTATACTTATTATATACCAATTGAAAATTATCAGTACGGTCAATTTTATAAGTTATACCAAATGAAAGAATAACAATACGTTTAATGCTTAATGCCTCAGCTCGTGCCTTACAAGTTGAAGCTATAATAATAATTCATATATTTACGCTTCCATTTGTTATATTGCATCATCATCACCTGCAACTCCAAATTTATACTAGCACGTTCTTTTTCTAAATCTGTATTACTTTTCTGTATGGTGCTGGTCTCATCAATCACACGACACGACCGAGCGTACCCACGATTCTTTAAAGTTCTACTTCGATGTTTGATATCGTGGACAATTGCATGCTTTGGGGAGGTATTATTTTTACTCGTATATTTAAGTCCTTTATATCAAGAGTCATTATAAACTCATTATCACCAATATATTCGTTGGAACAGGGGGTGGGGAGGGGGGACTTTCGTCCACGTATGCGCGAGAAACGCGAGCAAGCGTGGAGTGCACGTCAGCGCGGGTTAATCGCGTGACTGAATTCTAAAAACAAACACCAAATTTGCCCAATCTCGTTCCCCGAGCCTGCGATCCTCGGGAAGGATTAACGTGAGGCTGTGGGATAATCCGTGGTTCAATCTTAGCCAGGATTCCTGGCTTCCGGCAACGGATTATCCCAGAGCCTCGCATTCCTTCCCGAGGATCGCAGGCTCGGGGAACGAGATTGCAAATTTGCCGTGTTATGAAGTCGTTAATTTACTCGTGTTATGAAGTCGTTTTCTTGTTTCTTTAGTGTTTCTACGCTCACTATTTTAGGCGTTTCCAACTTAGAAGTGTTTGCTTTGTAATAAGAACGTGAAAGTAGAAATAAAATCTTTGTTGCAGCAGTTTAATTTAGTTGCCGTACAAATATACCTGTTTTATGTGTATATCTTTTGAGAAGTGAGATATACAAGTGCAACTTGACCTTCTTTAAATTCGTACTTGCCCTTTTTTTGACTCCATAAAAACTACTTTTATCCATGGAGAAACTATTTGACGTTAAAAATAAGCTTGAATATATTATGGTGGTGATATACATATATAGGCTAATTTCTTTGCAAACAGTGATTCAGTACTAGGTAGTGTACTTGTTGTATATGAACAAAAGTCTAAAATGAGTTCAACATCCATCAACAAAAAGGAGTCGCGCTAGCTTTATATTACTACTCTTTAGAAGATAGACAATTACAGTGCGTCTACAGTAAGTGGGGCCACTTAGAGAACACTAACCAATCACATTGCAGAACAAAAATTGAAAAAATCAACAAACGGAGCATTAGCCAATCAGCATTAGGTCAAAATCAATTTGAACAAATAAACGAATGTCAAACGGTAAAAATAGGGCATAGTACAAAACATGGACTGGACAGTTGGACTGGACTGGACTGGACAGTTGGACTGGACTGATTTTGATTTTCTCTATTCTTGACTTGCACGTCACCCGCCATGTCAGGTGGCATGGCACAAAAGAATATTTATCACTTAATAGATATACCATGCCTATTTTGTAATTTTATCGATGAACATTGTCTGGTGTGTACCAGGAGGAGATTGGTTGCAAGTCATTAATATAACGTTTTGCACCTGAATTACTTTCGGAATTGATTTTCGGAAATTGAAATACTTTACCTTCGCCGGTGACCTCACTTTATAACTGGAGTGAAATCTCTTAAAGCGAAAGAAACCCCAGTAGGTAGAATAGAATAGAATACAATACCAAACATAAACTAGTCAAACTACCTATCTGTCTTTGCTATGGGTAGCCTGCTCGCATACATATTAAATTTCGATAGTTCAGTCTGCATGGCCATGGGCGTAGGAAGATCGATATTTTGGGGGCTCATATTCATATATTCGTGTTCTGCATCATTTACTTCTTTTGAAATTGATTGCTTTATGAATATATGAATATGAGCCCTCCCAAAATACCGATCTTCCTACGCCCATGGCCATGCAGACTGAAATATCGAAATTTAATACGTATGCGAGCAGGCTACCCATAGCAAAGACAGATAAGTAGTTTATGTCTGCTATTTTATTCTCTTCTACTTACTGGGGTTTCTTACTGAGATTTCACCCCAGTTATAAAGTGAGGTCATCGGCGAAGGTAAAATATTTCAATTTCCGAAAATCAAAAGTAATTCAGGTGCAAAACGCTATATTCTTGACTTGCAACCAATCTCCTCCTGGTACACACCAGACAATGTTCCGATCGATAAAATCACAAAATAGACATGACATGGTATATCTATTCTGTGATAAAATATTCTTTTGTGCCATGCCATCTGACATGGCGGGTGACGTGCAAGTCAAGAATGAGAAAATGTAAAAATCAGTCCAGTCCAACAGTCCAGTCCAGTCCAGTCCAACTGTCCAGTCCAGTCCAACTGTTCAGTCCAGTCCAGTCCATGTTTTGCACTATGCCGGTTGTTTCTACACCTTTTCGATAATTACGTCATGACTTTGGCCTGAGAGCCTCGCTCCCGTAAATCAACACGAGCGGCTATTGGCTCGCGAGATTACGAGAATGAGGCTCCCAGGCTATTTGAGAAAAGTGGTATGATTTGTAATTGCAGAAATATTGAAAATAATTTCTTTGTTTATGAAATCTACAAATTAATGCAGAATACAGAAAAGTAAACTTTACCACAACCTGTCAACCCACAATGTATATGACATATTATATGAAAAATCCGTGGAATTGGTGCACATTGCCGTAGCAAGGTTTGCGGCAGGGACGTCGTGAAGACATCAACATTGGAGGGGGGGGTTGTCGTTCCTAGTATTTTGATCAAGTAGTAGAAATGTTTCCCGAAAATGTTGTCGAAGCGGGGGGGGGGTGGTTTTCAAAAAATTTTCCGAACTTACATAAGCAGCTTCAAATATTTTTCGACCAAAATAAGCAAGGCTTGCAATTGTTTCCGCACAAACATTACCAAAGCTTAGAAACTGTTAAAATTGCGAACGATTTCATAACTTTGACCAAATTTTACCAACTTTGACCTTCAATTTTAAGCAAATATTAGTTCCATTTTGACCAACTTTGACCGTTTTGAATTATTGTGTTACACCCCCTGTAGTGACGTCCCTGGTTTGTGGGAAATTCCAGGCCTGTTTTATACGGTCAAAAGCTCTGTAGCATATAAAGGTGTTGCGTATATATTCAAAAGGTGTGTAATCTTCAAGGTGTATAAAACTGAAAGGTGTGGGTAGTGAAAAGATGTGTAAATTTGAAAAAGGTGCATAGGGTTGAAAGTAGTCTGTCACCTACGCGTGTCTGCTAATACCGCCTGCTACGCAGGCTAGTTTGAAAGGTGTGTAATCACCAAACTAACTAAGGTGTGTATTTGCGGAAAAAGGTCTGTAAAAGAAAACATAATTGGGTGTGTAATCGTACACACCTATAATCGTGCACACCTAAGGTGTATAATTTGTGTGCAAAGTGCCCAAATAGAACAGTGTAAGCAGTATCAAAATTAAGGTTTTCAGTAACTCACGGTTCGTTTCGATCCGGGTTTTCGGCAGAATCAAACCATATGATTTTTTTTATTAAACACAACTAAATAAATTACCGCAATCAAAGTAACAGTTAAAATTTGTACTCTATACTCTAAAATTTGTACTCTATACTATATTTAAAGGCACAGTTCAGCCTTTTGAACGATGGTTTTTAAGGCCATTTGAGCCCTTTTAATTGAAAAAACTAACTAGGAAAATCAATTAAGCATAATTCAAAATCAGTCAACTCCATGTTTTTAACAATATAAATGTTTTAAAATGTTAAACACATTAAGTTTGGTGATCTTGAATTATGCTTAATTGATTTTTCAGCGTCTTAAAAACCATCGTTCAACAGGATGAACTGTGCCTTTAAGTTTGTGTAGGAATCTATGATTTGGATTAAACAGTTAATGATCATCAAAATTAATATAGTATAATTATGATACTATTCAACATACAGATCAGAGGGTGGTAAAAGTTAATATTTAATTTTCGTGTGAATTGCCATTTCTCCATACTTCCCGCGAAACATCTATTTTATTTTTCGTGGATTGTGAAATCCGTCACTTCTTTATACAGGTAGCAGAGGAACTTGTTTTCATGACTTATCTTTCACTTTGAACACTTTTTGGAAATTTTTCCGTATTGATATGTGCGGTTATATCAACACTCGTGGAAATTGGGAAAACTCGAAATTGTGTGAAAACACTCCACCCTCCGGCCGTCGTGTTTTTACACAATTTGTGGTTTTCCCAATTTCCACCCGTTTTCTGTATATGAACACGGAAAATGTTTTATATTTGTTAAATATTGACCCCGTGCTGTTGTTTTTGAACTGCGGCACTACCGTCGTTTCTATAAACAAGAAATTTAATAGGAAATTTATGGGAATTTTGCATTGGACGGGCTCCATACCCGTCGAGCCTCGATCTAATATTTTAGAATAAAATCTGTTTTTAAAAATAGGGAGTGTGTGGTGGTGGTGGATATATACCCCCACACTATGGGGGCCAGGGTTAAATATAAAATTATACCTCACGCACACACTCACACCACGTTTTGCCATATTTTACCCTCTGTACAATTTATGATACATGATTAATAGTTATTTAGTGTAAATTGTAGTGGGACTGACATAATCTTGCAATTGAAATTCTTAATTTTTCTTTAATTTTAAAAATCAATCTTCGAAAAAGACTGGTATCTATACGGTAAATTTTGCCCTAAGTAATTGTTGTGGAAATACTACAGTTTCTTTTTATATATCTATTTTTAAATTTCCATTAAACCTGGTTTATTTTTTAAGTTCTGGCATCAAAAGTATATTTGGCATAAGATTCATTTTACAAAATGTAATTTGTAATTAATCTCCCTTTTTGAGAAGGTAATTTTGTAATTTTGATTACTTTTGAAAAAAGGTAATTGTAATTGGGAATTAATTACTTTTTGAGTCAAGTAATTGTAATTAATTCCTTTTTGAAGAGTCATTGTGAAGCTCTGGTGAAATGTGATCAATACCCCCTTGGCCCCTTTCTCTCTTTTACCACCCTCAGATCATTATATCACCGTCTCTTTATTTGTTTTTCTTATGCTCGTCGTTTTGCGACACATTTGTAATCCTTCGGATTTCGTACCGAACTAGGAGGGCCAACTTCCAGCTTTGGCTCTGGTTCACCTTTCACAACTCCGAATGAGAACCGATGCAACAAACATGATGTAACAATGAATACTTGGATTTTTGCCAAAGACTCGCCAGGACAGTAACGACGACCCAATCCGAAGGGCACATACCCAGGAAACGCGGTCCAACCAGTAAACTTCCCGTTTGCATCAATAAACCGATCAGGTTTAAATTGCGCTGGTTCGTCCCAGACAGTCGGGTCTCTGTTGATTCGAAATAGATTTAAAAAAATAACGGTATCCTTTCGTATTTCGTATCCTTCAAGGACTGTGTCGCGTGTAGTACTGTGTGGCATTGCAATGGGTAGGAAAGACGCATGACGGATCAATTCACACACAGTGGCTTGAAGCCAGTGAAGGTTTTCGACTTCTTGTAAAGAAGGGAGTCTAGTTCTGCCTACCACTTCATCCATTTCGTCTTGTATCTTCTTTTGTAAGTCTGGATATAAAATCATGTACAAAATAAACCAGTTGAAGAAACCAGAGGTTGTGTCGGCTCCTCCTAAAATGACATCTATCATCATGCATTTCACAACGTCGACGTTACTCGTGTCTTTGCTATTCGGCTTACGTTTTTCTTTGTCATATGCAAACAGGAAGCTATCGGTAATGTCGCGAGTCACGCCTTCTTTGTAGGTTCTTCTGTGTTCCGCCAGTTCTGGTTCAAAAACTTGCCTTTTAATATCTTCCAGTTCATCTATAGTTTTGTGGAATTCTGAAGGAATGTATCTCAAAAATGGAAAGAGTTGATGTAGACTACCCTGTGCGACAAGACTGGTCATTTTATGGTTGAATTGAAGAAGTGCGTTGATATTCGCATCCCCGTAGTTACATTTCTTGTTCACGAGCCATTTCCATAAAACAATTACTATCGTAGCTGATATGTGTTCCTTTGGAAAAAATGCTTGACCATTTGTGGCTTCAATCACATCTAAAAGTTCAATGACTCCGTCGCGAACTCGTATCTCAGCTTCATTCGCTCCTTCACCGAAAATATGAAGTGCTGTTTTGAAAATTTTTCGCCGAAACATAAGGGCAGAACAGAAATCACTAGAGACGATGTCACCTCTTTCAAGCACTTGGTCTAAAGGATAGAGAGAAACTTGTGATCGGCCAGCGAAATCATCCTTTTTGTTTACCAATGCTTCTCTCATCATTGCCACGCTGTTAATAACAACCACATTTCCTATCGGAAAGGTGACTGTATATAAGTCTCCGTATTTTTCGCAAAGATTTTCCATTGAGTATGGTATATTCAAACCAGATTGGTGAAGATTGCCAATAATTGGTAGCGGGAGGGGTCCTGGCGGCATCTTTCGGCGTTCAACATATGTCTTAATAACATACCACACTAACCATACGGCAATAACTGCTATGACCAAATCTAACACCATAATTTGAATCCGACTTTGATCTATAAATTGAAAATATTTCTTTAAGAGAAAGTAATATGACGATCGGAAATGGAACAAAATTTTTATATTGCCATAACTTAAAATAGCGGTATCCAGATAGTTATACCGGTCACATACGTTCGTTTTAGGAATAGCCAGTGAGCTCCATATATATTTGGAGCAAGATTAACTCGAGTCCAAAAAGTGAAGTCAAAGATGGCGGAATTTGAACAACATCGCACCCAGGGCTTCTGCACTTATTGCAATAAGCGCAGAAGCCCTGGGTACGAGGTTGACCGTGTAGCTAATTCGAAGGTCGGTCTAGTAATTCGGAGGTCGCGGGTTCAAAACCCAGCCGTGGCAGGCAATAACTTTCTGCTTGCGCGCGGTCTGGAAATTATGAAATACTCACTTGAGAACATTTTCAACTTATATATATATATACTGTATATATATATATATATATATATATATATATATATATATATATATATATATATATATATATATATATATATATATATATATATATATATATATAAGCTTTGATATTTGGTATGGCAATGCCAAACGAAGTCTACTCGAGGGCGAAGGATCCAAATAGGATTCACAGCAAGTACTGTCGTATATATATTTATCAATTTAAAAATCAGAGACTATGCAACTTCGACCATCAATTTATTAAAAAAAAACTAAAACATACTAAAATAAAAGCTTAAAAGTTAAAAACGTTTCGGCAGTTCTGCCTTCATCAGTTTATATTACAATTTAACAATGTCTAGCTTTTATAGCATTGGCAGGATCAAAATTACCATATTATGTAGTAAACAAATTAATGAGGATCAATAGTAGGATCAAAATTACCATAATAATATGGCTTACAAGTTATAATTATAATAATTATTATTACAACTTGTAATGGATCCTATTTTTTGATCGAAGTTCAGATCTGTTATTGAGGCCATATAAAGGGCTAATTGTATAGACAGCTGTGCCATCCAATATGCTTCTCTGGTCAGTAAAGGATTATTGGCATTTTCGTCATTCACTAATCAATTTTTTCAATGGCTACAAAATCCAAATCCTTAAATTCGTGTTTATTTTCATTAAGATGAACGGCCATCTCACAAACTTTCTTATCCGTAAGCATAGCTGACTTGTGGTTACGAAAACGGACTTTAAATTCAGTAGATGTGGACCCAACATATACTGAACATTGCATTTTTTGCAGGAAATTAAATAAACTATGTTAGTGGTACCACATCACCGGTACTAAAACTCCTATAAAACAATCAGTCTCCTTCAAGAAATTATTACACAAATCACATTTCGCTTACACTTGAAACAACCTGGCCTCTGATTTTCCGCCAACACATGCTTCTTATCAAACTTAGATGGTGCTAAAATGTCCTTAAGGTTTTTTGGTTTTCTGTAGGCAGCTATAGACTTGTCCGGAAAAATTTCTTTCCACTCAGGTGTGGAGATCAAGTGCTTATGCTTACTTATAATTTGCGAGATGTTAGGAGCCCTAGGATTAAATTCTGTCACAAAGGGATAAACCTTCTTTTTAGGTTTAACTTTAGCATGCAACAAATCTTTCCTAGTCACCTTTAAAGCTTTATTAAATTCCTTATCAACTAATGATTTGGGATATTCTTGACGAACTAAATATCTTTTGTATTCCTCATACCTCTAGTTGCTTCAATCACTATTGACCGAACAATTTCGCTTAATCTTAAGGCTACTCCGTACGGGATAGAATACTGTCCCGTACGGAGTTTGACTAATGTCGCGTGTCGCGGGTAAAAAGTCGCGTGTCGCGGGTAAAATGTCGCGGATCGCGGGTAAAATGTCGCGGGTAAAAAGTCGCGGGTCGTAAAAAAGCTCCAAACCGTGTATTTTATCGAGTCGCGGGTTGAATAAAGTGTGTAAAAATCACATTATCATTTAGTAAACAACTATATAGGATTGCTTCAATACGAAATATTGCCCAAGAGCCTTTTGTCATGATTTAATGGTTCTATATAAACGTGCCAGAAGCCTAAAACTTGAAAGAATAATTTCAATATGTTAAACCAACAATTATACCATGTCAAAAATCCTCCAATCAAAAAATATGTTCTGAAAGAAACAAACAAACAAACAAACAAGACTTTGGTAGAAATAAATTCAGTTTACCACTACTATTACAATCAGTTTTATACCAATTTAAAAACAACCATATAGTATCACAAATAATAGATATATCCATGCTAGGACATTATAAAAGTACATTATGATTCACCACCAATCCGGATATTTAAGTCGCTGTTCTCTAGCACTTGTTTCTGGAAAGTACTGATCGATGCTGCCAGAGGCTTGACGACAACGTGCACTGAGCCACTGAATAGCGGATGTTTACGCCTGGTAATATGTATTACTAAAATCAGGACTATAAACATAGGAATGTGTAACAGGATCCTTTTGCACTACCGTCTATCAACGTGCTTTACAATAATGTTATATGGCTCTTGTCTATATTTATCTAGAAACTCGCAATTGCAGCCATAACATCTTCGAACAACTATTGATAAAAACCATTAAATAACTAAATTTTAATGTGATTTTTACACACTTTATTCAACCCGCGCGGGACTCAATAAAATACACGGTTTAGAGCTTTTTTACGACCCGCGACTTTTTACCCGCGACCCGCGACATTTTACCCGCGACCCGCGACTTTTACCCGCCACACGCGACCCGCGACCATTAGTCAAACTCTCCCGTACGGAGTAGCCTTAAGAATTGAGCGAAATTGTTCCGGCGGACAATAGTGATTTAAGCAACTAGAGGTGTGAGGAATACAAAAGATATTTAGTTCGTCAAGAATATCCAAAATCATTAGTTGATAAGGAAATTAATAAAGCTTTAAAGGTGAATAGGAAATATTAGTTGCATACTAAAGTTAAACCTAAAAAGGTTTATCCCTTTGTGACAGAATTTCGAGCAGAATTTAATCCTAGGGCTCCTATAACATCTCACAAATTATAAGTAAGCATAAGCACTTAATCTCCACACCTGAGTGGAAAGAAATTTTTCCGGACAAGTCTATAATAACTGCCTACAGAAGGCCAAAAAACCTTAAGGACATTTTAGCACCATCTAAGTTTGATAAGCAGCATGTGTTGGCGGAAAATCAGAGGCCAGGTTGTTTCAAGTGTAAGCGAAAATGTGATTTGTGTAATAATTTCTTGAAGGAGACTGACTGTTTTAGGAGTTTTAGTACCGGTCGGTCATACAAAATGGCCGTTCATTTTAATGCAAATAAACATGAATTTAAGGATTTGGAATTTGTAGCCATTGAAAAAGTTGACTTAGTGAATGGCGAAAATGCCAATAATCCTTTACTGACCAGAGAAGCATATTGGATGGCACAGCTGTCTATACAATTATATAGCCCTTTAGGGAAAGTACATTTATTACACCGAGGGAGGGGGATGAAGATGTCTTGAAAAAAGCTCATATTTTTACAGGGCCCTGTTGAGGTTATCGGTAAATTTCGATGCCCCCCCTCCAAGTTTTAAAAATTTTCAATGCCCCC